GCTGGTTCTTCCAGACTTTTGTCCTAACCCGTCACATCGTTTGGAGAGACAGTGGCATAAATTAGATGTGCGCAGGGCTCTGTACCATTATGTTAAGCGGACCTCGGCCTTTTATAAGTTGGAGGCCTTGTTCGTGTCTTTCCAGCCCTCTTCCATGGGTCAGAAGGTCTTCTGTTCGACCATTGGTAGATGGATCAGAGCATGCATTGCTCGAGCCTATCTCTCACAGTCTCTCTCAGTTCCTACACACATCACTGCTCATTCTACGCGCAGTGTGGCTGCGTCAGCAGCCTGGTCTATCCAGGCATCTGTTGAGGAGATCTGTAGGGCAGCTACTTGGTCTTTCCCTTCCTCATTTGTAAGACATTACAAGATTGATAGGTTTGCAGCAGCAGATGCATCATTTGGTAGGAGGGTTCTACAACAAGTAGTTTCTTCTCAGGGGACACAAGCCTAGACTCTTTTCCACCCGTAGGGACATGAGCGACTTTGGTATGTCCCACCGGTGGATTCTACATTCATCATGCTGGAGAAGGGGCGTTGTCTTACCTGAACGCCTTTTCTCAGCATGATGATGTAGAATCCACACCCTCCCTTCATGGCCATCTAGGCAGGTGTCATAGTAATTGGAGCCATTGCGTTGGACTTCATCACGGATGCTTCGCCTTGTCAATAATTGGAAGACACACCCAGAGAAAGGCATGGCTAAAGTTCTAATTTAGTCTCATCTGAGCAGGAAGGCTGAGATTACCCACCGGTGGATTCTATATCATCATGCTGAGAAAAGGCATTCAGGTAAGACAACGTCCCTTTTCTGCTCTTATTGTGTCCTTAGGGTGCTGCCCAGAGGCCCTGCTTTGGGTTGCCCATTCCCTCCTAGGTCAGGAGGACTTGAGCAATTTTTTGCAGGGCTGGGCAGAGGAGTTTGTTCAGTAGCTGATGGATAAAGTTGTTTGGATTTGTTTCCAGTTGGACCCTATGCATGGAGATAATCTGTGTGAAACAGGGAGAGGTCTTGCCCTGTTATTTCTCTCAAGCTTCCTCCTTCCATTATATATTCAAGATGGACAATATTTAATATTTATTTGCTACGTATATGTAGGGATGTAGGTCTATACATATGTTATTCATAGTATGTTTAGGTGTGCATCATGTATGTGTTTCACTTTGAGAGTGGGCAACTAAATTTCATTTTTAGTATAAAAATGTATAGAAATGACAATAAAGGTTATCTTATCTTATCTTATCTTATTTGGTTGGCCCTGATGAAGTGGACAGAGCCCTTGATGCTGTCAGTGCCACTACCTGTCTGTTAGATCCTTGTCCCTCCTGGATGGTGAAAGCCTCCAGGATAATGACTAAGGTGGGTCCAGACAGTGATTAATACTCACTAGAAGAAGGGACATTTCCAGATGCTTTTAAGCAAGCTCTGGTTGCCCCCTCCTTATCCTGGATCCCACCTGCCTGGACAATTTTAGTCCAGTTTCCAACCTTCCATTATTACAGAAGGTTGTGGAAAAGCTTGTGGCCTGGCAGCTGCAGAGGGTCCTGGATAAAACAGATTATCAGGACCCCTTTCAGTCAGGATTCAGGCCTGGTTATAGGATGGAAATGGCATTGGTTACACTTATTGATGATCTCTGGCAAGAGCAAGTTGAGGATAGTGCAACCATCCTCACTCTCCTTGATCTCTCGGATGCTTTCGATACCATTAACCATGGTATCCTTTTGGGCTGGCTGTAGGGGAGGAGGATGGGTGGCACAGTTCTGCACTGATTTGGCTCCCTTCTCTGTGGCAGGTCCCAAATGGTATTGATAGGGAGTAAGAAGTCTCTATTTTGTGATGTACCACAGAGCTCAGTGCTTTCTCTACTCCTTTTCAACATCTATATGAAACCACTGGGTGAGATCATCCATCACCATGGATTGAGGTATATATTGTATGCTGATGACACCCAACTCTATAGTTCCAGTCTTGGTAACCCAAGTGATACTGTGGCCATCCTTTCACAGCATTTGGAGGTTGTGAAGGCCTGGATGGGGGACAAGAGGCTTTGACTGTACTCTGGTAAGACCAAATGGCTTTGAATATGTGGGGCTCTGGGATCTGGGACTTTGTCATCTTTGTCTCTGGATGGGTGGCACTGCCCCAGAACAGGCAGAAGTTAGGAGAGCCTTTGCATAACTTTGTGTTGTGCTCCAGTTGCAGCCTTTACTGGACCAGGATTCTCTGCACTCAGTTGTTCAGTCCCTAATCATCTCATGGCTGGACTACTGTAATGTGCTCTATATGAGGCTACCCTTTTAGAGCATTCAGAAGCTACAGCTGGTGCAGAGTGCAGCAACATGAGTAGTTTTGGACCCCCAAGAATGGCCCCTGTAACACCTCTGCTCCATGAGCTGCATTGGTTAGCAGTCTGCTTCCGAGTGCAATTCAAGATGTTGGGGGTCACCTTTAAAGCCCTTCATGGCATGGGTCCAGGTTACTTGAGGGACTGTCTCATCCCACTGGGATTGGCCCATACCACTCTAGCCATCAGAGGAGGCATGCTGTGGGTTTCATTAGCCCCATTATTCTGGCTGTTGGGGTCCAGAAGGAGGGCCTTGTCTGCTGTTGCTCCTGTCCTCTGGAACATCTTGCCCCCTGATGTGAGGTTGACTCCAATCCTCCCATCTTTTTGTAATGGCCTCAAGATGTGGCTTTGCCAGTCAGCTTGGGGGCCAAGTGGGGGAACAGTGCAATGGAGGTAGTTGATTGAGTAATACCAGATTCCACCTCCAATCCACTCTACCCCTCCCTCCCCATGTGTCTTTGGTTTTAAAGTTTGTTCTTAACTTTTTATGTTTTACCTTCTATGTAACTGTAAGTCCCTCAGAGTTATCCAATGGTAATAAAATGTATAAATAGGTAGGTAGGTAGGTAGGTGAGTGGGTAGATGGATGGATGGATGGATGGATGGATAGACAGATAGATAGATAGATAGATAGATAGATAGATAGATAGATAGATAGATAGATAGATAGATCTTCATTAAGATTTATTCATACTTCTTCTTTTCCTTAGTTTTCATGAAAAGATACTACCAGTACAAGAGGAAAATTAACAACTTCCCAATCAAATAAGTAAAGGGGTTTAAATGCATAATGAATTTCTTTCAGTCTTCTGCTCCCTGGGTATATCATGCAGCTTGGCTTCCAAAGTCTGCCAGTACATCAGATTTATCAGCTGCAGTTTGATCTTTACTACCTTTGAACATTTAATGCAAATGTGCCTACTATTCTTTGGTGTCAACTTTATGCTTATTCTTGCTCTGTATTTATCATACATAGAAGCAATTCAAACAATATCAGTAGAATTTTATTTAGAGTTCCCTACTCTATCCTGAATGGACTTTCTTGATTGCAACTTTGGCTAGAACCTCTTTGTACTCAATTCATAATTTGCTATCTAAATTATTGTTGAGAGAAAACTTGGAGGAAAGTCACTGACTCAGCTCACTTTAATCTATAAATTCATTTCCTCTTGGGAAAAAAAATCTTTTTCTGTGACCTCAATCTGTTTTCAAATACTACTCAACTTTCATAGAACTCTGCAAGAAATTAAACAGAATCCTTGATTTGAATATATAGGATAATAAATTAAATTTCCCATTACTATTTCAAGAACCTTTATAAACCATCTTCTGGCATACATAATGTAAGACTTATTCCCTACCCTGACATTGATTTAATAATATTCTTTTAATAGACTGCTGCTGAGACAGTAGCACATATTTTGCTTTACAGCCCCTTTTATTGTGCTTAGTGTTCAAGCTCATTTTTCCAATTCTTATCAGTACCAAAAATTGCTCAGTTGGAATCTTTTTGCTTCCTACTTATAATCAATCCATCAAGGATCTCTAGAAACCTAATGAAGCTCTTCTTGATCACTATTGCCATTAAAGGTTTTGGATCTGTTTCTTATAAGTAGCACAAAAAACCTATGTCCTACTCCTTGGTGCATAAGCATATGAGGGAGAAAAAGTTTCAGGCCTCAAATGCTTCTATCTACCATAGGAGTCCCCAACCCTTGGGCCATAGCCCACTACCAGGCCGTGAGCCATTCAGAACCAGGTCATGGAAGCAGTAGGTGCGGATGTGCACATGCGCATCCCCACTTGCACTAGCAGCACACGTGTGCACGCACGTGTGCTCCATTTGTGTGAGCGGCAGTTGGGCATCACCCCTCTCACCTCAATGGAGCTGCACACATACACTCTTGTCCACTGTTTGCATGGAATCATACCCCTTCCCCGCCAGTCTGCAAAGCTGGAAAGATTGGAGAACTCTGATTTCCTGCATGTCTATTCAGAGATAAGATGTTCTGATTATAGCTGAAGTCAGGATAAACTTTGGTAAATCAGATCCTATATGCAATGGTATTCTTTATTCTGAAAATTTTGATATTTGCTACTGTTTCTTAAGGTATTAACAGATACCATTTCTTGTTTAGTTTAACCAAAACCCAAATTATAATATCGAATGGTTTTGCTGTAAGCCAGGAAAAGGTGAATAGCTGAGTAGAAAACTGTTGAGCAGATATGCCAGAATTAGTGCTATAGTTCCTACAATAGTTCCTACAGCTACAATCAAAGGAGCTTATCTCTGAGCAGATATGTGGTAGATAGAACCATGGTAGTACAGAGATTAGAATGCAATATTGCAGGCTAACTCTGCCCATAGCCTAGAGTTTGATCCTAACCAGCTCAAGATTGACTCAGCCTTCCATCCTTCCAAGGTCAGTAAAATGAGGACCCAAATTGTTGGTGGAAATATGCTGACTCTGTAAACTGCACTTATATAAGTCTAAATGCTATTGCTATTGCATCCAGAAATTCCACACATTCTAATAGCTTATGCTAATTGTGCAATTAATGCTGTATAATACTCATTTTTAATAGTGAGTAATTTTTCCACTTCAAATTATAAAGCTTACTATATAAATTCAGTCAGAAGCTTACAGTATAAATTCTGTCAGATTGCACCATTTTGTAGAGTCCACTTTGTGCATCATCTCTTCAAAGGATTTTCCACACACTGGCAAGTTCTGTAGCATGAGAGATTCATTGCAGATGATTTGCTGTTGTGCACCTAGGAAACAGTAAAGTTCTGATCAAGTCAGGTTTCCACTTTGGAAAAGCATGAAGATTTTTAAAAATATTCATCAAGAGAAAGTGTTCCAAAAATGACAAAAAAATGACAATAAAGGTTAGCTTATCAATCAAAATAGACTACTTAATTATGTTAGATTTTATACGTGTCATTAACTAGATATTGTGAAGCCCTAAAATTTTTACAGGTAATCATTGCTTATTGATCATTTGTTTAACTATTGTTCAAAGTAGCAATCTGAGTGTTGGCAGCCAGCCTGGATTTCCAACCATTATAGCATTCCGCAGGCAAGTGATTACTATTTGTGACCTTCAGGCAGGCTTCCAAAAATTAAAGACAATGGGGAAGCTAGAAGGAAGTCACAAATTGTAGTCATGTTATGCCTTGCTTAACAACCATGGGTGATTTGTTAATGACCACAGCAAAAAAAAAAAAAAAAGATTGTAAAACAGGGTGCAATCACCAAAGATCTCATCAACAACCACACTGTTTAATAATAAATTTTCCATTCCATTCCCCATTGAGGTCATATGTTGACCTAAAAACATATTATATTTACTTTTAATTATTTCAATATTGTTTTAATGTTAATATTATTTTACTACTTAATAGCATCACTAAAGTCAGTTCATTACCCTAGGAGTATACTTATGTATCATTTGGTTTCTTCACAAAACCATCAGTTTTTATTATACTCAATATTATACCAAAGCTTGATTGATCCAAATAAATTTAGATTTTCCATATAGGATCAATGGGTATTAAATAACAAATAAAACAAAGTTTCTGTCAGGCTGAACACCGTTTTGAGTGACTACATGGAGAAATAGTTTATTTTCCTTTGAGATTTTTTTTTCAACTACCCAGTCTATTCTACAGGCCATAGTGTACAGCCAAGGAATGTACTAACCAGGTTTGACCCTGCTTATTTTTTCTCACTCAAGCTGTATCAACTAGACTCTATCTACTTTTGTAACAAGAAATAAAAAAGTAAATGGAAACTGTAGAAAATTATAACTTCATCTGTGTACTGATGGGACCTAAGGTATGAATGATTAATCAAGAAAGGGGGCTGGATTTTGATAGATAGTATCCAATGCTCCTTCCCCCCCCCCTTTTTTTTTTTTGCTATAGCAGCTTTCTATTTTCTAATAAGAATTAATAGCAGATGCCAGGACCTGAGATGGGATTTGCTGAGAGATATTCGCTTCATGTCTATAACAAAAGCAGCCGCTTGGCCAGTTTGAGATAGATCTTCCACAAGGCTACTTCTATCACTTCAGACTCTTATTGTATGTATGTATGTATGTATGTATGTATGTATGTATGTATGTATGTATGTATGTATTTATTTATTTATTTACACACACCTCAGTCAAAGAAATATAAGATCTGCGTGAAGAAAATGGACCATTCATTTAAAATATTGCTGCTGGATATATTTTCCTTACAGAAATACAGTATCAATTTCTTAAGTTAAATATTCAAAGAAAAATAAAACATACGCCAACTTGTAAAATTGTATTGATTTTTCTCAGAATCGTGCTTTCTCCAAACAGTCACATATGAGGCAGTCCTTGTAGATATTGAAATTTCATTCCCAGAAGCATCATGTTTTCTATATTTCATTATAATTGTGTGTAAGATATATATTTTGAATAAAGGTATCAGAAATCAATCTTTTAAGAACTGCCTTTTTAAAAGAGATATAATGAAAAGGAGTAATACAGATAGAAAATATGAAGTTCTTACCTGCTAATTCAATTGTTATTAGGCTATTAGCTGGAAAAAATAAAGGAAGTATCTATTAGAGTGCTATTATTCTAAAATATTACTGTAAAATACATTAAACTAATAATAATGAATATCATCTTAAATCTAAACCACATAGATTTTAAGGAGAATTATGTGCAACCAACTGGTTCCAATCCACAAAATATCTACAATATCAAACCGGTGAAGTGGCTTGGAAGAATATGATATCTAGCCCAATGCCAAATAACCTAATAAAAATGAAATTAATATCAACCAGAAATAATAAAGAATGCCCTCTATAGAGATAAGAGATTCTTGTTCCATGAACTTAATGGGTATGCCAGCAATGGGGAAAAATCTCTGATACGTCATGCGATGTTGCGAGTTTGACATGTCTGCATTAGAGGGTGGATGGAACTGTGATTGAGATCCATGACAGCCTTTTGAGTCAGAGCTGTCAAAAGTCCCTTGACACTTTTGGAAACCAGCACAATTTATCAAGCTTCCTTCAAACCTTTACTATCACATGGTTTACATTTATCATTCATAGGAAAAATCTTCATATTTATTAAATACAAAGGAAACACATATCAGGTTAAACAATATTTTATGCCATTTTCTTACTGCATTAAATGACATTCTTCAAAACATAATGGAAGACGACAAAATAGTTAAGACAGCAAAACCACATTAAGTAGATAATCGGCCAAAATGTAACTGTATTCATTAGGATTTTGAAATTATAAGGTAACAATTTTTCTAAGTACGGATTTAGTGCTCAAATTCTAGACAACTTGTAAACTGAAACTGTCATTTTCCATTTCAAGCAGATAAGCTTGAAATGGAAAATGACAGCAAGTTTGAGGAAAAAACAAACAAAAGCCTTTGCTAATCAAAAGAGCACTATTGTCACACAAGGCCAATAATGCTGTATTAAGCAACTTCATAACTAGGCAAATATCTAAAAAATAAGGAAATGCATGGAAAGAAGTTAATTTATATATTAATATATAAAGATATTAATTCATACCAACTTAGATGAACTGCTCTTTAATATCATTTAATTGATATATTAATATTTCTCTAGTATATATTATTAGAAACAAGATAATGTTGAAATTTCCCTCTATTTTTATGGATATGGATTCCAATTCTTCTACCAATAGCACTCTGAATTCTATTTTAAGATTACCCCAAAGCCTAATCCTAACTTCTTCTGCTCTGAAACAATGACAACACTTTCAGTCTCTGAAAATTACATCTAGTATTATCTCTGGAGTCTTCATTCAGAACAGACTTTTCCAGACTAGTCCTCTCCTTGTCTGAATTTTCATCATTCAAATCAAGTTTGTCCAATACAAGGAGGACTCATTGGTTTCTTCTGATACATATACACAGAGCAAAGAAAAATATAAAAAAAAAATCAGTAGAGCAGGAGTAGGGAACCTGGTCTCTTTTATGACTTGTGAACTTCCAGAATTCCTGAATTAGCATGGTTGGTTCAGGAATTCTGGGTATTGAAGTCCACAAGTCATAAAAGAGCCAGGTTTCCATACCCCTGAACTAGAGCATATATATGCATATTTCGTTTTTTCACATTACAATGTAATCCTTCCTAGATATGATTTTCCTCTGCTACACATAAATAATTTTTATGACATGTCATTTTGGGGATAAATTTTATATTTATAGCAAATAGACAGGAGTAATCTACTGGATTAATTGTTCTAAAATTTCACTGATGGTATTAATTACATCTTACAGGATTTTTCAAAGAAAATCCATTTTGTTCCATTTTGTTTAGCTTTTCTGTAGTACTTGTTTGGATTTTGTGTTTAGGAAAGGTACAAACAAAGTCATTGTCCAAAGGTAGATAACGTTATCACATTTAAAAATAAGGCAAAATTCTTCCCTTGAGAAAATAGAATTTATGTGTTCTTACTTTGTATGTGTTCTTACATCTGCCATATTTTGTAGTTTTTAATGAAGAATCCTAGAGTTGGGATAAATTCAGACTTCTGGGAAAGAATACTGAAATCATTTCAGTTTTTCTATATTATTGTTTTAAGTAGTAATAGTAGCCAATATCTTTAGATCTATATAAAAACCTGTAGCAGACCTGGGCATTTTACAGCCCCTGGGCCACATCTGGCCCTTTGGCTGTCCTTGTCTAGCTCACATGAAGTCAAATGAAAATTAGAAAGCAAATGTAAATAAGTGTATTGCAGGGAGTGGAAGAAGAAGCCAAGTTGGTCTGGTCCGCGGGTTGGCAACCCGTGGCTCCGGAGCCACATGCGGCTCTTTGCGCCATCACCTGCGGCTCTGGAGCCTCCTCCGCCATTTGCAGAGAGAGAGAGACAGAGAGGCACTTGTGTTTCCCTTCTCTCTCTCATGTGAACTTGCCCCATTGCAGAGCTCCTGATTGCCCTGTGCCCAGATGTCCCACTTCCTGGGAGAAGCATGGCCCGGGTGCCCCACCCCCTGGGAGAAGCTGGTCCCGTCGGAGGCGCATGTGGCCATGGAGCCACACAGGGAAGCCCCAGGATCCCCACTGGGAACAGCCAGCCGGAGGCTCCTCTGAGTGAGCCAGCGGCCCAAGGGAGAGCAGCCCCTGTGATCCCCAGCCAGCGTGATGGTTGGCTCCGCTGGCCGGGAAGGTGTGCCAGAGTCCCAGCTGCCAGGAAGGAAGAGGGAGATGCACCAATGGTAGGAGAGGAGAGCCTCCTCCTAGGGCCCGAAGCCGCCAGTGGCTTCCTTGCCCTCCTCCTCCTCCCCTTCTTCCTCCTGCTGCCCCATGGGTGGCTCGGGCGGGCACCAGGGCAAAAGGGGCACCTGGGGGGGCAGCCGGGCCGGTGGAGGGGCTGGCAGGGGCCAGTAAGGCAGAGCAGCTGCAGCATTGTGGCCAGAGCCAGCGGCCCACACAGCACCAGCCCCTGCCGTGGCCCACCGCGGCTATATCAGATGGGCGGAGGGTGAGGCCGGGCAGTGCAGAGTACTGGTTGGGGCGGCTCCCTCACCCTCCTCTTCCCTTTTTTCCTGTCCCCCAGGCAGTTCAGGTGGGCGCCAGGGCAAGAGGGGCACCCAGGGAAGCCAGCCGGGCCAGCAGAGGGGCTGGCAGGGGCTGGTCAAGAAGAACAGCCACAGCATTGCAGCCAGTGCCAGCGGCCCACATGGCACCAGCCCCCACTATGGCTACATCAGATGGGTGGAAGGCGAAGCCGGGCAGCGTGGAGTCCCGGCTGGGGCAGCATTGGCTTCCTCACCGTCCTCCTCCCCTTCTTCCTCCTGCTGCCAATGAGAGGCTCGGGTGGGTGCCGGGGCAATAGGGGTGTCTGGGAGGAGCAGCCGGGGCGGCAGAGGGGCTGGCAGGGGCTGGTCAGCCGCAGCATCATGGCCAGGCCCAGCGGCCCGCGTGATACCAGCCTCCACTGCAGCCCACCGCAGCTACATTGGATGGGCAGAGGGCAAGGCCAGGCAGTGCAGAGTCCCAGCTAGGGCAGCAGCGGTGGCTTCCTCACCCTTCTCCTCCCTTTCTTTCTTCTGCTGCCCTTGAGCAGCAGTCCCAGGTGGGCAGTGGCCAGCACCAGCATCGCTCCCTGGGCAGCCGAGCGGCCACGCGTCTCCCCGAGCCGGTCCAGGTGGCAGTCCCAGCGAGGGTGGCAGCCGGCAGGGGCATCGCTCTCTGGGCCGTCCCTGGGCAGCCGAGCCAGCCATATGTTTCCCCAAGCCTGCTCATCTCCGGCGGAGGTGGCACCATCTAGTGCTGTTTACATGGCCGTTTGTCCGTGTGACTGAGATAGGAAGCACCGCCCCGCTCCGTTCTCGTTTCCCAGACCAGAGTTGGCGCCGCTACCTATCTCAATCACGTCCATATACTGTAAACCCACCCATATGGACAGAATGCTACACTACAGAAGCAATCACCCTGTAGCACATAAAATCAGCTGTATCCAGACATTATTCAAACGGGTCAACTCCCATTGCAGCACAGGCAGAGCCAAAGTCGAGGAGAAAAAACACCTCCACCACATATTTATGCACAATGGCTATCCCATGGGATTTGTGAGATGGTATAGTAGACTACACCAGACTCACAGAGACTCACACTCCAATGTGACAGCAACGCCGGCTACACGGACAACCCTCCCTTACATCCATGGCGTCTCTGAGGCCACGGCCTGGCTGCTGGCCCCCTACAATGTGAGCATTGCCCATAGGTCTAAGCAGACCCTAAGAGCCAAGATCATGCACCCCAAAGAGCTGATCCCCAACAGTCAAAGATCGTCTGTAGTTTACAGAATCAATTACAAGGACTGTGCAAGCAATTACATTGGGGAAACAACTAAAAGGCTGAGGACTAGGGTCCATGAACATGAGCTGGCAATTAGAAGACAAGAGCAATGCTCACAAGTGTGGGCCTACATGTCCAGCTTTGGCCACATGTTCGATCTGGCCAATGCAGAGGTTATAGCTCATGAGACCGTCAAGGGTGGCCGTTTACTCAAAGAAGCCTGGCTCTCTGATGAAAATTCCATCAACCAGCATATAGATCTTTTGGCAGCCTATCAGACCCTCAGAGGGTGGGAAAGACAGTGCTATGGTCTACTGAGAAGACACTCAGCCTGTCCTTCGCAGGATTGGAGTGGCAGAATGATTGATGAGACAGGTACGATCTCTAGAGAGGACGACGACCCGGTTAAAGGGGAGAGAAACCAGAGATCGAAACAATGGGACAGCTCTTTGCACGATTGGTGGGATAGCTCTACAGGTGAGGTAGCCACGACTCTCATGGGAGGAGATGATGGACCAACGGAGCACCGCAGCTATAAGCCAGGAATGGACGTGCAAAGGTGATCTGGAAGGAGGGGGAGGGAGGGGGAAGATGGAGAGCAGAAATGCCAGAACAGCTGCTCTTTGCAGGACTGGGGTGGGATGACAACAGCCTTGGGGGTGGGGGCGGATAATAGCCCAACAGTGGGCCTGAATCGCAGCATGAGATACAACACTCAAGATCCCTCCAGAATGGG